TGAAAAAAAATAATTTTGTTTTTGTTTGTTTGTTTTTTGTTATAATGTCCATCTCGAGAGAATTTTTCATTCGTATGTAGACGTCACCACTAGCCGGTGGAGGGCTGCAAATTAAGACCTATACTGGCAATTCAGGGTCATTGAGCAGTGAGGGGTCTTTTTCGTGCTAGCTAGGACATCAAAATTGAACATACGCTATGTACTGAAGCTTTCAAATAACTATCATGTCTTCTGACCCAGTAGTTCTTGAAAAAAATTTATAGAATTTGTTCTAAATATTCTATGAAAAACTATGATCACCTTTTGTAGCCACACCCTTCCCCGATGGACATGATCAGCATAAAACTGAATCTACACTTCATAATGAAGCTTTCACATAAGTTTCAACTTTTCTGACACAGTGATTCTTGAGAAGATTTTTAAAAAATGTCACTAAATTTCTCTCTACTTCCCTTGAAAGAGGTCAAATCCCTTCATTTGAACAAACTTGAATATCCTTTATCCACGGATGTTTTGTGGCAAGTTTGGTTGAAATTGACCCAGTACATGTAATTCTTGAGAAGAAGCTGAAATTGTGAAAAGTTTACAGGCAGAGGGACGGTCAGATAAAATGTGATCAGAAAAGCTCACTTGAATTTCCAGTTCAGGTGATCTAAAAATGTCAACCCCAACACCAATTATATCGGCACATGATTGTATATAGGAATAACGCAAAAAATAATTTCCAAATAATCATTACTACTGAACAAAAAAACTAATACATGTTGTATTCAATCTCCAAGTATGTATTACAAGAAAAAGAATAAGCTGATTTATCAGATATCTCAAGAATTACAGTATCTTTAGCATATTGATGTACATCAATCCTGGACACAATTTTCTGACCAAAAAGTTTTCTCCCTACAGTATTGAGAGTAATGCTGTCTGTCTCCCTCCGTGCTTGTGTGTGCGTTTGTCAATCTCTCTTTCTTTTCTCAAGTAAATATTCGTCAAAACAATATATCGACGACAATATATGCCGACCTTGACGGTACATATTGTCGCCGACGACAATATGTGCTGGTGCTTGACTGTACATTTTGTCGTCCATTATGCAGGAGGAAAATAAGGCTCGTCTCGGTACATATTGTCGTCGGTGACAATATGTACCGATGGACGACAATATGTGCCGTGAGAGTAGGTACATACTGTCGCCGACGACAATATGTACCGTCACAGGGGGTATCACTCCCATACCTGACACACGAAAAAGCTTGGTCATAAATCAATATTAGCGTCTACCAATTAAGCACGATTTACTGGTGATACTGAAATGTTCAAAGTGAGATACCAGTGGTCAGTTTCCACTTCTTTGAAAAAGAATTACGAGACCCATACCTTAAGTTGTTATGCCTACTGTATTATAGTAAATGAATAAACATAGAGCTAGGAAACCTCAACGTCCCCTGTCCCAATGGTCTAAAACCTTCAGCTAGAGTGGGGTCGAGCACAAAATTTGAAGTTTTGTTTCCTACGGGTTTCCCCACAACTGTAAGTATGTTGTGATAAAGGGATTAAAAGGGGCTTTGCTCATAAATTCAACTTCTACAAAATATTACTTGGATTTGTAAAAAAAAAAAATCTTTAAAAGTCTTATTTATATTTTAATTTCATGAAAGTACACGTTTTAAATTGTAGTGGGGGTTAAACTTGAAAATATTCTGGCAAAGAAAAGTTTAAAATGCTAGTACATATAAATTATTTGAGCCTGTATATTTATTCTGGCTTAACTGTTTATATGATATAAATTATATTACTCGTTTACTTTTCTTTTCCTTCCTGATAGGAAGTTTCACTTGAGTATTTTTTTCAGATAGTTTCTGGTGTCAATGAGTTGCCTTTGGAATAGTTCTCCGGACTAGTGAATCATTGGCCTAGTATCAAACCTTCGAACTAGTACTATATGAAACTGTATAAAATTTAAAAATGCTGTAAAAGAAATTCCAAAAATATTTTGTTCGAATACTACTACATAAGTAAATAAAGGGGGAGGGTACAAAGCCTTATGTATACATATCTTTATGCTCCATAAAGCTATTGGCTAGTTTAAAATACATAATTTTCATTTCGTATGATTATACAGAATATTAACATTATTACCATAAATACTTAGTATTTTTAAAAGCATTTATTAACGGCTTGCCAGTATATTTTAATCCATCACTTTTCATTCCATCTTTTACTCAATCTGCGCATTTTTTCCAGAGAGTTTAATGCAATTTCATCTTTTAAAAGTTTTCTAAATGAAAAAAAGCAAGAAACTCATTGAAAACCATTCAGTTTCATCTCATACATGGTTCATGTATCAGTCATGTTTCTTAACAATTCATTCACATCAAAAATGCATGTGTCATGCAGCATACTGAATTTTTAAATGAAAAAAGAAAATAGAAAGATAAAGGAGAACAGAAATGCATAATTACATATCAGCCAAATATCTACTGATGATCTTAATTTTTGCTATAATTGTTCATTACTTAAACATGTATTTGCAAAGAATTAAAACTTAGGGTATATATGGGATGGATCGTCTCGGAGCAAATCATTTGTTCAGACAAATTTATCATTTGTTCGAACAAAAAATTAATTCTTCCGAAGGAATAATTAATTTTTTCGAAGGAATAATTAATTTGTCCGAACGATAAATTCTTTTTGAACAAAGATCTTTATTTGTCCAAACAAATATATATTTACTTATTTCATGCATATATTGCAGAACTAATTACATTGTAAATGATTTGAACGCCAGAGAGAGAGAGAGAGAGAGAGAGAGAGAGAGAGAGAGAGATTGAGATTGTAATAAAACTAAACTCCAAATAGAATCAAGATGATAAATGAAAACAAATTAATTTTCAAGATTTATCCCCACCACATCCCCAATGTGCACCTGATACATATGACGTATGTATCCGAAAAAAAATGTGTAATTTGTCTGAAAAATCTAATTCTTCCGAACAAATATATAATTGGACCGAAAATTTTTTAACTTGTTCGAACGAATATCTAATTTGTCCGAATGAATGTCTAATTTGTCCGAACGAATTTCTAATTCGTACTAACAAATATCTAATTCGTTCGAACAAATATCTAATTCGTCAGAACAAATAAATATTTTTTATCTGGCCCTCTCACAGCACCGTAATACAAGTTCATGTATTATATAATTTTTTAATAAATAAAAAGATATACAAAAAAAAAATTAAAACCAACTGTTTTGGGGTATGTCTCATTTATAGAGTTACTATATTCTAATTACTATTAAACTCTGTCTTAAAAATATTTAGCCTCATATAATTAAAATCTGTCTCTCAGCTCTACCTTATTCAGTCTCAAATTCTTATAGTTACTTCTTCCATTCTTTGCGTGAATATCGTTTCACGAAGTTCCTCTATTTAGGCGAAAAAAATAGCATATGGTTAAATAGTATTTTTTTTTTAAAAAACCATTCATTTTGTTTGTGGAGTGAAAAGAGAAAAGAAAAAAAGGTAAAAGAAGGACTGTATTTGTCGTAATATATATTTCTTTTTCTTTTGCCTACCTCTTTCATTAAAATCCATTTTCCTCTTCAACTCAGTTGATAAAAATAAGTTATGACTGCTCCTTTAAAAGTTTAATACATCAATCTTTCCACATTGAAAATATTAAACTTCGACCGCTCAGCCCATGTCAAAATCAGAAATAGGCATTTAAATATTTCGAAAATTTTTTTACACATGCTGAAAATATCAAATTGATTTAACCTCGACAGCTAAACACATGTCAAAATCAGATATAGATATTTAGCATGTACTAACCGTTCTTTAAATCCGTCGAGGATATTTTTATGTATGACAAATAAAAATTACGGGCCTTGTGTGACTACTTTCGATTTGGAAAACAAATCTTAATAGTCATTTTGATTGCTGACGATATATAAATAATCTGGAAATTTTAAAGAAAATTTCAAAGCAAATGTTTATTTAATACTTTCCCCAAAAATTGAAATCATCAATAGATATAAATATGAAATTACTTTAAGGACATAAAATTTAATGCAATATTCTTTCAAATTTTGAAATATTATTTCCTTTAGAGAAATGCCAAAAATAAAATATTAAGATTTCATAAAAGAATTTAGAAGCACTGTTTTTCTTTGCCTTAGTTCTTTACTTACCCCGAAAAAACAGCCACGTCAGCTAAATTTATTGTTCGTTAAGGAAGTTAATAGATATGGATGAAAGCCAGCTGTGCAATGATTGTGACATAGGTTTTATTGGTTATACTTGATGAGGTGCCATGTGAATGTCAAAAACTTAAGACGATATCAGAGCCTTCGTAGAGAATTATTGTTATACTTTGGGAAGGTAAGAACTGAAATATTTTCTAAAAATGCAGACAAGAGAATCAAAAGTTTTATTGTGCGGAACTACGTTACAATCATACACTTTTGAATAATAATTAAAGACTTAGTATATTGTTATTTATTTTATTGATTTAAAGCACATGGTTTCATCACTTTCAGTCTATCCAAATATATATTTAATGCTTATTGATTCTTCGGAATACATCATGTTGCGCGATATCTGACATCCATCCCATAGCTCAATGTTTAACTAATAAAGTATTATACCTAAAAAGGATTTTTTTTTAATTTAATGACATGCCATCTCTAATAAGATTGGCCCTATATAAGTCTGGAATATTAATTATGTATCTCGTAAGCTTTTTATTAGATACATGTATCTAATTATTCTATTGTATTAGGCCATTATTTACGCACTGAATTGTTGACGGATTTTTCCGTTATTTCCCGATCATGACAAGGAGCACACGGCGGGTGTGACCGGTCGGCAGGGGATGCTCACTCCTCCATGACACCTGATCCCACCTTCGATGTTTGCTCTGCTCCTATTTTGTATTGTTTGATGGACCTTTGAGCTTGAATACTGTTCGTTGTCTCCATATATTTCATTTTGCAGATCATGTGTTCCCTATGGTCTGGATTAACCTTTGCTGTTCTTTTAGGACTTCTGTATCTGCTAAATAAAAGAATGAAAGGAACAGCAAATGTTGTATGTAAGTGTCCATTATATAAGACTAATTTATAATTGTGAATTAAGATCTGACATCATTGTGATTTTTGTAATTTTTTCACTCTGTTCGAAAAAAAAAATTCTGACATCATTGGTAATTTGTCCTAACTGCTCCCTGTTGTTATCTTACCTCATAGATCAAGTGTTCTTTGAAATTGTTAAAACCCTTGTTTTACAGCAGTAAGAACTTGTCTTGGTTTCATTATGTTAGAAATTCTTATTTGACACTGTAAGTAACTTTTCTCTGGCATGTTTCTGACACCAGCAATTAGTCCTTTTTTCTCTAGCAATGCTTCTATATAAAGATATTCTTGATATCCGTATATGCTATCCCAACTAGCACTTCTCTGGCAGTGTTTCTATGTAAAGATATTCCTGACTCTCTTGTTTGTTATCCAACAAACATTTCTCTGGCAGTGTTCCTAAATGCATTATATTCTTAGACATTGATATCTGATCTCCTATGTAACTTTTTCTCTTCCAGTGGTATCCTAACTTGCCACACTCAGTAACTTTTTTCTAGCTGTGGTACTATATAAGGATTTTTTAATTGCCACTGTGCCAATTTTTTCAAAGGTAGTTGGGCTCAGTTTGTAGAGCGCTCGCTCCGAGATCGGCAGTTCGCAGTAATGTTGCAACACCTGCCGCCACTCACCTAAGTCGATAAAACGGTATTTTCAAGTGAAAGTTGACACGATAAAGATCCCTCCTGCTCAATGGCCCTGAGTGTCGAGCAAAGGACTAAATGAAGCCCTTCACAGGATCATTATATGGTGACGATTCTTTTTAAGTGAAAAATCCTCGAGTGAGACGTAAACAATATACAATCAATCAATCAATGTTATTCATATGGCAGTTTTTCTAAGTAAGGATACTCCATTCTCCGAGTAACTTTTTTTCTGGCAGTGTTACTCTAATCTGTCGCATTTTCCTCTGGCAGTGTTTTTAATATAAGGATATCTAAATCTGCCACCATTGGATTTTTTCTGTGGCAGTGCTTCAATGTAAGGATACAAGGATATCTGCGACCATTGCCTTTTACTTGGTAACTTTTTTTTTAACAGTGTTTCAATATGGGATACTCTTATCTGTTACATGTAGTAATGTATTTCTCTGTCATTGTTAACCTCATTTTCTGTGACAGTGTTTCTATTTAAGATACGATTATTGACCACCATTAATTACTTTTCCCCATGTAAGGAAACGTTTTTTTTTCTTTGCTATGCGACTATGTTATCACCATCTCGCTTCTAATTATATAGAGCTTTTGTATTGTAGCTTCACTGTTTGAGTCAGTTAATTACCACCACAAGTACACATTCTAGGGGATCATCACTATTATGGAGTTCTCTCTGTGAATGCCAATATAGAATACAGTATACGCCCTTAAAATCTTGTCTTTGACTGTACATGTATTAATATGATACACGTGCAAAAGTTTGGTATCTAATTTCAGTGACCTTTTTCTTTGAAAATAAAAACTGAAGAAGAAAATTTTGTATCTAAATGTGATTCCCTATGGATCAAATTTCATTTTAATCAGACAAAACTCGAAGGAGAACATTAATTATGTGTAGTAGTTGATTGTTTATAAGAGTAAAAAAAAATCAAAAGATTCAAAAGCGATACAAGTGTATGTAACTTTATTTTCTCTTCGCTCCACTATAATAAAATTCTGTAAACTGTCATTGTTTTTTTTTTCTGAAAGTATATTTAAAGTGCTTTTTAGATACGCAAGAAATAATTTGTTATACTTGCTCTATGTTCAACCATGCCACTTTTTAGTAAGAAACAATGACTCTTGAATTTTTGACGTGGTTCAATCTGATTAAGCAGCCGAAAGAATGAATATCGTAATAAATCAGAAACATTCCTCTGAGATTCACTATGTAAAAGTACTCACCAGACACAAGAACGTTTTAGGGTTCTTTTAAATACTCATACTGTGTTATAATGTATTACTACGAACATGTTACAGAAATCACGTATGAAAACAAGTTAAAAGTGGAGTTTCTATGTATATAGGATGTAAACTATTGGATTTTTTCGTGTTGTTGTTTTGTTGGTTTGTATGGTTTTTTTTTTTTTTTTTGTTTTTTTTTTTTTGTAATTAAGGTTAATCATTATTCATGTTCTTCAAGAATTGTTTCACATACACTGTAGTATGAGTACTCACGCTAATTCTGTTGTACATAATGGAGTGCAATTAGCTACTAAAATATTCTTTATAGCTACATCTTTATATCCTATTATAAATTTTGCCCCAGAAAACTGTAGGGATTGAATCTTGAGTTTATCTATCTTAATACTAATTTCAAATTTTGTGAAAATTTAGGATATATTCTAAATCATTTTACATCAAATCAGTTCTCATACCGTGTATTCTATTTTAGGTCCCTCATTTTTCATGAATTCAACAACCCTTCACCCAGAATTACATCTTTCAGAAATGGACACAGTTCTCTCAAATTATAAAATCAGTGAAATAAATTCAGAAAATGAAGAGAAACAATTCAAGAGATTTAAAGGAGTAGTGTCAAAGAATCCGTTAAACAGGCATAAAAATTCGATATTTGAAGTTGGATTTACATTCGATGTGATCGCTGATGTAGGAAACAACCAGGTTCTCTTTCAAGTTGGTGTAGCCAAACGAGACTTAGTTGATTTGGACGCTACCCTGGGCATTCATGAACAGGCTTGGTCAATAGCGGCAGTTGGTTGTGAAAATCAATATATTTGTTTAATAGCTCAATCTGATGGAAAAGACATTGAGAAATTACCAATATCTGAAAATAAAATAAATTCTACGGTCTCCAAGAAAATCATATTTCAGTGCATCCCTTCAAAGAAAATATTAATGGTTTCAATTAACACACCTGAACATAAGTTTGTCCAGTTTGAAGACATTGCATTAAACAAAGACTTACGTTCAGCACTTGCTATATACAATCCAACACTTGCTAGAACTACCCTTACAGTACTTCAAACAAGCTCTCTAGAATTGGACATAACGACTCTTCACAGGCTTATTTTTATGTCTGAGGATAACAATACTATTTCAAACTTCAAGGTAAATGAAAAGTTCACAAGGAGAAATAACAGAGGAAATCTAATCAAATACAAGGGTGTTATAGGCGATGTACAGTTCAACAGGAAGTTCTATACTGGGTTACCTGAATACTTTGAAGTGATAGCGGCTGTGGATGTAATTGCCTATGATACTGGAACACAGGGATACATATTTGAAATAGGGTTTACGCGTCAGCATTTAGTTGACCGGGGAAATACCATTCGATATCTGGCCACTGGATGGGTAATTTGTGCAAAGAGATGCAAACAAGACAGAAACGCTATCTGTCTTCAAACGTGGCACGACGGTCAGATGAAAGAGGAATTTAGTATTTATAATCTCGGTAGATCAAAAAGATACAAAGACGAAATTGTTCTTGGATTTGTTCTGGATTCCAATAGAGGAACAATTAAGTTTAGCAAAAGATCTCCAAAGAAGCATATAGGTTCCTTCAATAATGTACCTTTTAGCAAAGGAATTTACCCTGTATTTGGTATTGACTACCACCAAAAAGTATCCTTGAGATTACAGACTGCCGAATCAATTTCACGGTTTAGCTTGTTTGGATACCATTTCAAGACACCCGTTTGTTTGTTATGAAAAATGCCTTAGAATTTTTTTTTTCAAAGAATATACTTGTCGAATTATTTAACACCCATGTTTTGTCTTGATGTAAATGTCTTGAAATACTGAAATTTTAAAATGGTGGACACCTTAGAAAAGTCTTTTAAAAGTAGTAAAATATCAAGGACAAAATGAACAAATAATTACATAATTGTTCTCTTTACTGTTTGTTTTTGCTATATATACTGCTTTTCAAGGACAGATGATACTTTTATCAACAATCATAATAATAACTAAAGTCATGCTTATGTTAGTAAAATGAATAAGTTTAAACATATAGATTTCAATTTTTCATGCATCTAAAGTTTCACAATAACGTGATTTAAAGTGACAGAACGCTATACACATTAATAAGGGTGGTTGCTGTAAGGTTGAATTGTAAACATCATAGTTTACAATTTCTTAATATTTTAGAAATTTAATATATTCGTATTATTTACAACCAAAATATGTCCTAAGATATATATACTAATCCAGACATCCATGCTTTGTTTATACCATTCGTCCTTAACTGCTACTTAAGTCATCAGTCTGTTCATCAAAATTCAATCCAACTAGTCATTTTGTAATAATAAGTCTGTTTTGTGATTTAAGCCCAGCCTATAAATTTTCATATGAGCTTATGTCACATGCAATTTTCGTTGCTAATCATGTGTTGGTATTCATAGATATTAAAATTTAAAATGTTATATGCGCTTTTAGATTTTTCTCAGCGCTTTTAAATTATTCTCATTTTAAAGTCTGAACAAATTTTTTAATTATTTTAATACATAAAAATTTCACATATATGGAAAGTTTATTAATTAGGTGTTCAACAAGAACCAACCAAATGCGATTAGCCAGATTTTTTTTTCCGTCCTAGCAGAATATTTCAGGATAGACTATAAATGTCTTTGTGTTCTTACCTTTCGAATACGTTGTACGTTGAAAAATTTCAATCTTACTTTAAATCTTTCATATTTACCCATTCCCAAACTTTGAATAAAAAGATATGTATTTTAACAACAGTCTATATACTGCATACTAAAGAGCCTTAATCGTATGGTATTTTTATGCAGTCAGTGTGATCCGCCCTTGGAATAAAAAATCAAATGAATTGAAATCTAAAATAATTCTGCTACTGACATTCATTAATAAAAATATATAGTGTTGTAATGCAGCCTTGTGACGGCACATATTGTCGTTGTTAATTAATTGTATCTCGAACAACTTGGACATCCCTTTAATTTTTAATTTGTCTCCACATCGTTTGGTAACTTTTGTAATATGGTCCAAATATTCAAATTCAAGTTTTTCTATATGCTGCATAACTCTTCCTTTCAGACTTTTGAATTCCTCTTTCATCTTATTTGCATTATCTTCTATTTCGATAATATTCTGTTCTTGTTTACATCTTACCTCGGAAAGTCTTACTTCAAATTTTTTGAGATTACTTAATAAGACGTCTACGGATCCACTGCGTCTTACTTCATCGGATTTTTGTTCAATGGTTAACGCACTTGCACATTCTGTATGGTTAGAACTATAACACATAGCACAACATGGCTTCTCGTGATCATTGCAATATTTTATTATTGGCTGATCTCTGTGTTTAGAGCACATATTATCTGGAGACATTTTCGACATATCATTTACACTTTTTATCTCTTGTAACGGACGGATTTTGTGATTCTGAGAGGCCCGACTTTTTCTATGACTTTTTGTACAGTTTTCACAGAGAGCCAGACAATAGTTTCTTGCCTCCTCTTCCTCGTCGAATCGTTGACATGCTTCACATAATTTCCCACTGTCACCTCAGCTAGAATATTTATCCAACAGATTATTCGTCGAAAGATGTTCACACCATTCACTGAATTTTACAAATAAATTAGGAGAAGGCACAAATGTTCGACATAATGGACGGTCAAATCCTACAGGGTCTTCCTTGGCTTGACATTCAGACAAAATATAGGACAACAAACAATCCTGGCAAAACATGTGCAAACATGGTAAATAGCGTGATGTTTTAAACTGCTCAAAGCAAATGGGACAATTCGATAAGTCTTCTTTGTCCATCTCTTTTTCTTGTGTGAAGAAAAATCCCATAATGAAGTACTCTTTGAATCTAAGCAAAAGTAGGTTGCAAAATTATGTACATACAATGAAACTTATCTTTTCTATAAACTCTGAGATCCAAAATATTCAAACCAAAAGGTACTAATACATTTTTTCATACAAACAAAGGACATAATTATCCAGAAAAAAGTAACAAATCTCATTCTTTTCAAGATAACATTGTATTAGAGTTAATTTAAATTACGGAAGTAAATAATTTACACCATGTCGTCACATGCTGATGAATTAGACTAATACTGATTAATGAATACTCGTATAGGTACAAATAATGACAATTACATTTTCCCAGAAAGTGAAGATGTAAATTATTACTTCCTATTAACTTTTGAATGCATATAATATATGGAATTCATAAAAAAAATATTGGTGCTTTTCTTTGTGACATCGCATAGTTCCACGTTATACACCAACCGCAAAGACGTGTAATTTCGAAGCAAAGAAAACTGACATAATTATATAATACTGTACACATCATAAAAATTCAATCAAAAGGATACATGTTAATAATTAGAGCAGGTCTTTTTACGATGACTTGATTTTAGATTACTCAGACATGATGTGCATGTAAAAATGGGGATAAAACTCTTGCATGAACATTTTTACAAAGTTTTCCACACTTTTTTACCTGTGCATTTTTTATAAGAAAGGGGTGTTATACGTACCTTATCTATAAAACAATTTCTTTAAATTGTGTAAAAATTTGGGGGGAGGGGGATGTTTGTGAGTTAGTTGGAAACGACGATAATTATACATTGGGAAAAGAACACATTAAAAAATCAGTACAGATACTATAATTTTAATTCTAAAATGATTCACACAAGGAAAATATTAAACCATTCACGAAAATGTAAACAGAAACTCGAAGAAGGCTCACAAATTCCGATATAATGGACAATGAAATCTTACCGAATTTTCCTTGGACAAGCGGATATATCATGAATAGAAAAGCAAAACAAATTCTGACAAAACGCATACAGCATGCAAATCACGTTTTTATACTGGTCAACTGTTCAAACAAATGCAAAATGGATAAAGGCTTTGCCCCTCTCTTTTTCCATCAAACTTCCTTTAATTTAAAACGAAAGTAGGTTTGAGGTATAATGTTTGGAATGCCGATAAGGTTCTTATATATCTTTTTTTATTATTGTGACATCACAGAGTCTTACATTTTCAGTAATGTGTAGGTTTAATATACATTGTACATATATTTTCAAAACAAAAAAGAAGCTAAAACATACAACCAAAAAAGGTAGGTATAATTCTTAAAGTTTTACGATGTTAAAATCGATGTATTAGGCAAACGTAAATAAAAGTAATTCGATACCGTAAACGTATCACATTTGGAGGTGTATATTTTTTATTGTGTAATTCGCATTTTGAATTCAGGAAAACCATCTGATAGCCCGACTCGGCAAGATTATGCACCAAAGATCTTCAGACACTCTTCTACTCCTCAGAGGAAATTGGTAGGGGATCTTATGCGATATGAGAGGCAGAGGAAAAGAGTGCAGGACAAAAAAAGAAACACCAAATCGGGGTCATGATGAACGTTCATCCCTTGCCAGTCTTGATAATCTTGACAGTGATCCAGAGGCACTGGATGCATGCAGAGCCCACTGCCCTCAGTTTACTAAAGGAAGAGAAGCAATTGAAGAGGAAATTGACAGCATGAAAACCAAAATGAAGTCGATCGCATTCAAAGCTAAGTCCATGTAAAGAAATGATTCCCAAACAAACTTCTGCTTTTTGTTAAAGATCATATGTAAGAAGGAACACAAGATTCCTTGCAAGATGAATGGTTCGTTAATTATGGAAGCAACGCCTTAATTTTATCGTTTGAGGACTAAGCACATGAAATATTCTTCACTACAACAATCAGATTTTTAAAATAAATTGTTAGGCATTTTACAAACCTTTGATTACATGTAGCGTTTCTTGTGAAGTGCTCAAATCGTGAGGCACACCGTTGGAACCTAGCAAATATGCTTAGAAAACATTTTCCGAATGCATATTGTATCGCATATTGTATTGTATAATTGTACAGAGGAATTTATTGATAGATCATTGATATCATAAGTGATGGCAAGGGCCCAGACCTTGTCAAAGTAAATTACACACAACATTTTTAAGGCCTTTGTTACAGTCACACCAACAGGATCCATTTCTTTCTTTCTAGAGTCTGGGCTAGCAAAATTTCGGACAAGGATATTGTTTAACAGAGTGGCATATAAGACAAGATGATATATGCAGATCAAGCACTAGCAGATATGATATTTGTGAATGAAGAGAAATTGGCTGTGAGAGGTGCTGCACTAGTAATATCCCCATTTACTAATGGACGTAAGGAATTACCAATACAAGACATTGGGAAGGGGGGTGCGATGCTTTGCCTTTGCAGGAATTGAAGCTGTAATATGTATAGGACTTCTAAAATCACTGTATCAAGTACTGAAAGGGCAAATTCCCATAAACTTAGTGATGACCTAGAATTTACTTCCGCATACAAGATAATAGCTGGATGTGCTTCCTAATCAAATTTTGGTAAAAGCATTGTGACAATTCAAAAAAGCTGTGACCTAATTGTGTTATGTGGTTCATGTATTGTGATTTTAAAAAGAATGACTGAAAATTTCACAAAGTACAAAATGTGCCATCTCTAATGACCTCACACGATTTTTTTTCTCCCTTTAATCTCACGTACTTAAGGCAAGCTCAGCTAATTTTGCAATCTCCCAATGATCTCTCAGACAACGCTAAAAAATGGTGTGTTCTTCGAAAGACCTCCGTTTGACAATTAAGTGTAAAAGAGATAGTTAGGCTTTCTCTCTGCACTCCTTGAGGAATCCTTGGATATTCTTTGA